GACAACAGCTTACGCCCTCGTCTCTCTAATTTGACTGTCGTTTGTCTTGTGCCCTGATGACTTTTTCCCCAAATTCCCTTAGAAAACAGGACCAGAAGGAAGGCGATAAAAGTGATTGATTGCAAGAAGCGCTGTGAGATGAATATATCATATGGACAAATGAACGTGAAATGAATGATCGAGTGTTTCTAAGGAAGAAGGAATAATCGAGAAACTTTCTCTTTCTTGGACCGAGGAATCTATCCGTGAGTGAAGCCGCCTGAGCATGTAGGACGGAAAAATTTTACAAAAATAATTGTTCGATGTTATGCAAATTGGTTCATAAATTCCTATCGGGCTCATGTAAAAGAATCGATTAATTACCATTATTTTTGTCGTGTAAGAATCATCTCCTTTTGCATATTGACAGAATGTTGAAAAATCAGCCATCCTCGTTATGGTATTGAATTCACTCTTGAAAAAAATATGAATCTGCTTACAAGTCACTACGTGAAATACCTTACAAGTTGATTATAAGCAGACGACTGCGCGCTCGTGTTCTAGTGTACACTTGTATTCTAGAGTGCACTTGTATTTTAGTGTGCACTTGTATTTTGGGTGTTTTCTCATTTTTTCTGTCTACCGCACTTGTTGAGCGTTATCCAAGTGAAGAGAACAGATCCTTGAAACGACATCCGACTTCACCCTAAGCCTGGAGGTTTACAATTCAAGCATAACATAACATAACATATTGATCTCGGCGCTGAAATGTAGGCCTGATGTGGCCTGTCGCCGATTCTTTTCCTTTTCGTGCCTTGTTCACAGAAGCAGCGAGTGGATTCTGGATTGGAGAGAAATGTGAGTCCAAAAAGCTTTGTACATCCTTCTTTCCTGTTCCTCACCGTACCCCTGTAATAATATTTCCTTTTTGACATTTCTGAACTCAAAATGAGCCACACATTGAGAATTGATTGTGCCTAGTCCAGCACGTTATGAAGCCAACCCATTATAGAATTATAGAAGTAAACAGACTCCCAATATTCTAAAAAGCCATCACCAATCATTGTTTTTCAGTCTAAATGCTGTACTGAGCAGAAAGACGCCTATAAAGCGTAAGCGTTGGAATCTTGTGAAAGGCGACTATGATAAACTCAGTGAAGCAGTGAATGCAGTGCATATTTCGAACTGTATGAAGGACATGAATGTGGCTGAGTCATGATCATTTCTCAAGAACACGGTTATGTCTGCAGTTGATGCGTGTGTACCAAAAATTAAGCTTGGTGGAGCCAAAAACAACCCAGGGGATGAACAATACAGTTCTAGCTAAGCTGTAAACAAAGAATAGAATAGAATGGAATAGAATAGAATAGAGGTGGCACTGAAGAAATAGGCCCATGGCCTGTTGCCGATTCTTGAATTTTTCGTGACTTGATTCACAAGGGATCCGGCCTTTGTAACCCGATGTAACCCTTTGTAACCACGGCCCATAACTGATGATTGATTGAGATAGCTGCTGGACTTATTGCCTGGTCCGATCTGGGGTGTGTGACCGGAAACACCGCCGCGAAGTTGAAATAGTTATGAGTAGCGTGCCGACTTGACGATGACTTGCGTATTGATTTTAACACAAGGGCTAAAGAGTCGCTCTTTGGTCCGGCTCTAAATTCCCTTGCGTTTGGAGAGAGGAGGAATAAACACGAGGAACTTTTCTTAATATATTGGTGATCGTCGGGCGATACACAATTCCTCTGTACAAGGCACACAATTTATTAGGTCCAAAAGCTCCGGGAAACAGAGTCTCAGCCTCAGGGATACAACGTCGAGGAATCCTAATAAACCACTGAGGACCACAAAAGCGGACAGCAAGGATACGGGTACGAGCCGTATCACAAAACTGACGACCTTAACAATTTGCTCGAGCGCAGAGGTTATTAGCCTCTACCTCGAGGTTGCGATTTGAACGGCTGTTAACCGCCCAACGCAGCCAAAACCTGGAACTAGCCAAGAACTCCACCTATGCCGTTGTTAGTCCGTTAGTGGAACTCATTAAGAGTTATGCCCAGAACTGCGGTGGAGTTTATTCTTGGAAGCCCAAATTTGGCTCTGCCTGATTCGAGTCGAAACCGTGTCACCCCAACCCAGCAGCCAGCACCACTGAGCACACACTACTTCCGAGTGCACACAACGAGGGGGTAACTCAGCCAAAATGAGCTTACTTCAACTACTGTTCGCAATGTACAAAACAGACTATAAACACTTCCTAAGTGCAAAAAAAATAGATAATATAATACAATAAAGTCAACATTTTTGTAATCATTTGGCAATCTAATCACAGTTAAAAAATCTAATAATCTTATACTAATTCCAAAGAGACCAAACTCTCCATCGTTCACGACTGCCTAGCGCGCGCTATAACTAGGTTAGGAGCAGCTTGACCAATCACGTTGGAGCCCCGCCCTGTCTCGTTCCAAGACTACAAACACCACTGCTAGACAAGTTTCCATATTACGGTCACGAAATATATATTCGTTTACATATTGTTTAGTCATAAATTAAACCCTTTAGTTAACAAAATAATAATATCACAGTTAAATGAGGTTCCTTATTTCAGTCACAAAATAAATGTTACAACAATTGACTGGTCACTAACCTATCACAGGATTAATAGAACGTACAAGTAAAAAAAATATACCACGAAATGAGCATCCCGTCATAGGTGGAAGCAGTCCTGTCTACATGACTTGTTTGAATTTTTAGCGATAAACACCATTGTGTGACACCATTGTCACACACCATAAACATTGTGTGACACCGTTGTTCAAAAAAGGTGACATAAGCTGCCCGGGCAACTATCACCATGTCAGTATGACAAGTGTCGTTTGCAAGGTAATGAAATCTGTTGTGAGGGATCGATTGATAGATCATTTGATTGCTAATAATCTCCTATCGGACTGTCAGCATGGCTTTATTGCCGGGCTATCCAGCACCACTAACCTCTTGTCTACTCTGAACGACTGGACCCGCCTGCTAAACGAAAGGGAGCCAGTATATGCAGTGTACCTCGATTTTGCCAAGGCATTTGACAGTGTCCCACATGAGCGACTGTTGCATAAATCAAAGTCTTTGGTAATTGATAGTAATGTACTCAAATGGATCAGAGATTTTCTAGTAGGGAGACGACAACGTGTCAGCATTAATGGGTCCGTATCGGACTGGACTTCAATGCGCAACGGCGTGCTACCAGGAAGCGTTCTCGGGCCTGTTTTATTCGTTGCGTTTATAAACGATCTGCCAGGAGCTGTGTCTAGCGTGTGCTCGATGTATGCTGACGACACAAACATTTATAATACAGTGAAGAATACGTCGCAAAAAGTACAGTTGCGAGGTGATCTTGACAGGCTGGTTGACTGGGCTGATAAGTGGCAGCTGCGTTTTAACGCTGACAAATGTAAAGTTATCCACCTTGGCAAGAATAATGAACAGCAAGATTACAGTATGAGAGGACACGGTTGCAACGACAGAGTGAAGACGTCGAAGTCGCCAATGGAAAAAGATTTAGGAGTTAATATCGACAATGAGTTGAAATTTTCTAAGCATATTGAAGGTCAAGTTAATAAAGCCAATAAACGACTTGGACTGATCCGACGCTCTTTCGAGTTCCTAGATGCAGAAGCGATGAAGCTGTTGTTTGTTGCTGTCGTGCGCCCGAACCTAGAGTTTGGAAACGTGTAGTCACCGAAACTTTAAAAAGACAAAAATTTAATAGAGAGTGTTCAAAGACGCGCAACGACGATAATTCTGGGCTTGAGAGGCAAGTCCTATAAAGAAAGATTAAAGATTATGAAGCTTCCAAGCCTCAGTTATCGACGACGTCTGCGTGGGGATCTCTTTGAAGTATACAAGTATACTCATGGTTTATACAAGGTCCCAGAAGGATTACTAGAATTTGAAACAAGAACCAACACCAGGGGCCGCGGCTATTAACTAAAAAAAATGCGTTGTAACACATCCATGCAACAACATTTCTTCTCGCTTCGAGTCACCGACATGTGGAACAGCCTCCCTTATAGCATCGTTGACGCTCCGAGTATGAACGCCTTCAAGAATAGACTAGACGAAGCTATGCACGAGCATATGTTCAGTCTTAAAATGCCTAGCAAATTACGGACCAGGCAATAAATCCAGCAGCTATCTCAATCAATCGTCAGTTATAGAAAGATCGGGTTTCAAAGGCCGGATCCCTTGTGAATCAAATCACAAAAAATTCATGAATCGGCAACAGGCCATGGGCCTATTTCTTCAGTGCCGACACTTCTATTCTATTCTATTCTATTTGTTTCCGTTAAGGAATTCTAAAGAAGAGTTCTCATTTAGAGAACTATAAGAAAGAAAATGGTGGAAACCGTATAAGGAGTGTTAGCTCGTATTTAAAGAGAGTTAAGCGCATGCAAGCATGCAAGTTAATTCACATCACTACGGCTAGTGACAAAATTAGGATAAACTCCGAAGCTCCAAAGGAGCCAATAACCCTACGGGTTTGAACCACTGACGTGAAGCCAGCACAGTAAGATCTTAAACGAGCGAACAAAGAAGTTCTAACATGCATTTAAATGGAGCAAAACAAAATTAAAACCACACGCGGACAAACTCTAATTAAGGTACAGAAAAGCAAGATTGAATACGAGCAGTAATACGGTTTGAGCAGGAGGTCTTCACACAGGAGTTCACGGTTGAGGCAATAGTTACCACGATTGAGCTAAAGGGTTTCAACTATGTTGTCTCCTAACACGAGACAAACGATAAGCGTATAAACTATAAACATTTATGACGTATTTAGATAATAAATTTTAACAATAGTCGAGGACTTGGTAGTGTTTGGCAACGCACCAGGGTCTCTATAACATTGTCGCAAACATGCTAATGCTGTGCTGAATTTTTCATGTGGTTTAATTTCAAAATTGTAGATACTCTAATCTCGAATGTAATCGTGTTATATAGCGAAAAAAATGGATTTTCTCATGTTCCGCGAATCAGGATAAGACTGTTGTTAACACTTCTTATATGGCGTATGGTTTGACAATTGTCCCTTCCGGGGTTTCTTCCGCCTAATTCATTTCACGTGTGGTATTGATTAGAGTGTTGTCGCGTTGAACACTATCCAACGGTCTCTGAAGTCTGAACATTGATAAATTGACTCAATATTAAAAAATGCTACTACCTGGTCTTCCTGCTCCGACTGAAGGGCTCCATCACGTAGAACAGAATACAGAATGTTTTGTGAACAACCGCGAATTGGGCTCTGGTACTTTATACATATCAGCTGAGTAAGTAGTTCTACATACAATGTTTAATTAAGTAAGAGGGGCACTTTGACTTGGGTTGCAATTGCAATTTTTCTATTGCATTATTCAATTATATTATTATTAAGTGATTTAAAAGTGACTCATATTGTCAATTTGTCAAAGCAGAGACTTTTTAGGTACAGTTTAGAGTGACTCTAAACTAAACTTTAGACTCTTCCTCTCTTCATGCAATAATGCTAGTTGGGAAAAATTCTATTTTTTTTCTGAAATATTGCAGCTCTAATATCATATAATTTCAGTACCGTAAACTGGGGTAACTTAGACTCCCGGGGTAACTTAGACCACTTTTGGTTTTTTTAACAAAAACCCCCAAAACTCAAAAACTATTTGACATAGAAAAATTCTGTCAATGGGCATTAAAGGCCTAATACTGAGGCTACGTAACACAATAGAAAGATTTAAAAAGTTTGCATATCTAATAGGTTAAAAAATTAAAAATGTGACCCAGGAAAAAAAGNGTGACACTTGAACTCTCGTTCGAGCGCATGACAAGGGCTGTCTCTTATACACATCTAGATGTGTATAAGAGACAGGCTGACGGGTAGTGAAGTGTTTTGAGAGTCATGTGAAGGCAACAGAACTTACGTAATGCATACGGTTTTTTTTTACAGTTTTTCATTTCTCGATGCGTCCTTAATGTGTCGGAATATACCGCATTTACCCTATTCCGTCCGTGCTTCAAATTCTACTGATACGTAATGCTGTCATCCACATGTTCGAATTCCGTTCGCTATGTGAGCTAGCTGTATTGGAATACAACACGGCTTTGAATTAGAACACTAACACGGTGCAATTACATATCAATTTTAAAGTACCTTGGACCTTGGTAATTTGAGTTTTGTGAACGCCGAACTTAAATTAGAGGAGCGGCTCGCAGGCTCCAGCATGGCAGCATCATCATACATAAGATAGTGGTTTAAACCTTGAGTAAATGAGAAAATTAAAAAAAAACTAATTCTAAAAAATAATTGGTTTGCCACTATGCCCGCAGGCATGGAATATATCTAGCCTACTTGGAGAGCCATGACTGAATATTTTCAAGCCTTGGTTTTATGGATTTGCCAGCCGTGATTCCATTTTTTTGTTCCATGATTTAATTTCTTTAGCTGTGAATTCCATACCCAGGCAATTAACATGTTAACTACGATTGCTTCATCTTGTACAATTATTTCATTTTTTGTACTTTTTTTAAGCAGGGTTGCTAGAATGCTAGACGTTCATTTTTTCCGGACAAATTCCATGATTTAGTTTTTCTCAATTGCGTTGGCCGGCTAAAATTTATGATAGGGGTACTTCCTAATTAAATTTTAAATACTGCAAAAAGAAAATAAATGGAAGTTTTATAGCGGAACCTACAAATAAACTAGTATACATTGAATTATCGGCCTTTTTTGTTCTTGGAATTGGCCGATTTTATGCAACCTAAATTATGTACCACTCCCTCCTGGAGAAATACATTTTGTGGTACGCATGTGTACCAATACGTAGTCAACGTGTTAAAAGTCATTTATGAGCCAGCAGCTGTGAACTTTTCCACGTTTGTGCAGTCCCATGCAAGCGTGGAAAACATCTCCCTTTAGGGCTGCGACAAGAGCTTTCCCCTCATTTCCAGAACTGCGAGATTCCCGCCAGATTAATTACTTCCTATCTAATTGTTAACAAAAGTGCACAATCGGGCCGCAAGTTTCCAAATGTATTAAAAATTTGTCACTTCGGAGCTGCAAGATTTCAGAAAAAAGTAAGAAAATTCCAATCCTGGTCCCATGCATGTGTGACCCCTCCTAATCTCTAATTTTACCCTAAAAACAGTCAAGACTAAAATTTGTCCTTGTCCAGTTAAATGGCTATACTGATCACGTGATAATGCAGACTGACTGCTCTGACATAACCACAACTATGCAATCATCGAGGAAACGTGGTCATACTTTAGATTAGGTGCATCCAAATAAAAGGTGTTTTTTTTTTAATTATATGTTTTTTGGGGTGTAGATAAAGAATCTGAAATCCTTTTTTGGCGGTCGGCATTGGAAAACCGATTTTTTCCCCAAGGCTCTAATTTGTCAAAAAAAATCAGGCAAAAATTGGCCAAAAAAAAACTAATGTCGTGGTTGCAAGAGTATATGGGTCACCAAGGCTAAGTTAAAAACGCTATAAATCCATGTATATTGGGGCCAAGATTTAACTTGCATTTTATCTTAGAAAATATATAAAAATCGGCATATACCGTAAAATGGGGTAACTTAGACCACTTTTTTTATGAATGATGCCATTTTTTTACTAGCTAAATTAAACTTGAATTGAAACATGCAAAATACAGGTCTATACTCTAGCTTCACTTACCATAAATTGCTGGCTCCTGCCTCTCATAGTCTTTATGTAATTTCAAATAAAGTGATGGTCTTTGTTACCCCAGCTCTTGGGGTATCTTAGACCGGGTGGTAAAATCAATTATATTTTTTGGTAAAATAACTCCAGGTTTTGGTGCAATGCAGCAGAACTCTTCTAGTTACATATGCAAAGACAAACTTGAGGAAAGTGTCATAGTTTGCAAATGGGGGGTGCCGCCCCATAATGAAGGTAATGTGACTACCTAATGGCAGCCCTGATGGGGTAATATTGACTGGCTTGGAAATTAAGTTAAAATTACCATTTATATAAGACTGTAGAGTCTGAAACATAAAGAAAAAACATAAATAGGCTGTCATACATAAAATATGTTATATATGGTAATTTTATATTAACTTCCAAGCCGGTCTATGTTACCCCGTCAGGGCTGACATTAGGTGGTCTAAGTTCCCCCATTTGGGGGCGGTGCCCCCCATTTACAAACTATGACACTTTCCTATAATTTGTCATTTGCTTATGTAACTAGAAGAGTTCTACTACAATGTATCAAAACCTGGAGTTATTTAAACAAAAAATAAAAAAATTGGAGGGGGTACTCTGACAGGCTTTGAATAATAGCTTTTTTTGTGGGTCACATCTTTAATTTTTTAACCTATTAGATATGCAAACTTTTTAAATCTTTCTATTGTGTTATGTAGCCTCAGTATTAGGCCTTGAATGTCCATTGACAAGATTTTTCTATGTCAAATAATTTTTGAGTTTTGGGGGTTTTTGTTAAAAAAATAAAAAGTGGTCTAAGTTACCCTGCCGGTCTAAGTTACCCCATTTTACGGTATAAAAATTGGTTTTCCGATGCCAACTACCAAAAACGGATTTCAGATTCTTTATCTACACCCCAAAAAACATATAATTAAACAAAAAAACACCATTTTTTGGATGCACTTAATCTAAAGTAATACTGGAAACGTTTTAAATTGACTTGTTGTTATTACATTGTGCAGGATATTTTGGTGGAATCATCAAAGTATTGCGGATTGTTGAAGTTGACAATTTTATGAAACTACATGTTTGCTGGGTGCAAACTGCGATTTTTTCAATCAAACAAAAATACATGACATTAGAGCCTCAAGATTTCATACCTACTGAAATTAGGTATATGATATTGGACTAATTAGCCAGGATATTTCTGGAAAAATAGGAATTTTCCAGCCCTGCTATGAACAATTGCTAACTTCCTCACAAGGAATAAGCCAGTCAATATTATTATGCTGCTGTAATTAGCTACAGTATCAATTAAAATATGACATAATGACACTTGATTATGCTCTTTATTCTTAGAAATTTACCTACTTTGAACTTTGAATTATTTTACTTCCATGTCTGGATTTGAGTGAAGAAGAGAGTTTAAAAATTGTGATAACAGGAAACCACTGAATAAAAGTAATTAAAAGATCATGAATGCCAAAAGGTTGGGCAACAAAAGCAATGCAATACTTCCTGCAACCATGGTTTTAATTCAAGGATTTTCTTGATGCAAGTAAAATCTTTTCAAAGAAAGATATTTCTAAGTTACTTCTTTTAAATTATTTGCATTTGATTCATATTTTAGTATACTTTCTGTTGTACCGTATTAGGGCTTCATTAATACCTTGGGGATTGTTATTATGTACCGTCAACTGGGTAATAAGGGATGGTTTTGAGAAATTTTTGTTAATAACTTCTTACCATGAAACATTTCATGAACAAGTTTGGGTTCATTGTAAAGCTCTTTGCAAGGACTATCAAATGGTAACTCCAAAAAAATCCATATGCTATTTGTAAGGTGCCAGATGCAAAACAAAAGTGCCCCGTATTACCCCTGGTAGCCTGGGAACATGGTAATCAAGGAACCCTTGAAATAAAACTCAATTTTAAAATATTTGAATCATACAAAGTGTACTCATCTATTACTAACAATTCTTCCTCTTCCTTTGTAGATGATGTAGATGTACAATAAATGACATTTTTTGTGATTTTTACATGTTTTTCCTTTAGTAATATGATATTACCATATCCATACATTATCATATTATTGATGTGATATTACCGTCAACCGGGGTAACTCGGGACTGGCGGGGTAATTCGGGACAGTCCTCCGACACGGCGTAAAACTGTTATAGTAGCAAAACTAATTGGAATATTGCAAAACTAAAAATAGTGGCGTAAACGTCAACATTTTTCCTATCTATGTAGTATAAAGGGAGTCGAAAAATACGACATTTACTAGCTTTGAAAACAGGATGACTTGTAATTTCACACCATTTTAATTGGGTCAAGTGAATTCACTATAACAAAAAAAGATCGCATAAACATACCATACCTGAAACAGAAAGAAATATTTTAGTGATAACCATCATATTTTTTGGAGAAATGAATCATAGTTTAGGTTAATTACTTTTCATTCTGTGTTGCCCGGTGCACATTCTATCTATGATATTCTATGGACAATTTTATGATGACTTATGATGCATTAATATTTTGTTCGGTAAAATTTTTTCAATGAGCAAGGTAAATATAATCAATATTTTTGGTTGTTAATTTGATTTTTGGTAAACTGGAGCCTTTACTAACTGAAGTACTACTGTAAATGCATTTTTAGAGGTGTCCCTTATCACCCCAAGGAAGGTGTCCCTTATTACCCCATCCTTCGTAAATGGCCACCATTTTATTTTTTTGAATGAGATAGGCAAATTCTGTCAATCGTATTTGTGTGTAACTTTTATGTAATTGACATTTTTAATATGGCGAATATTTTTTACTACAGGCCTAAGCAGAGGTACTTTTCCAAAATTGTACTTTTCACAATTTTTTAGGGATTTTTTAAAGGTAGTAAATGAATGATTCTCTAACTTGCTCTATGCTACGTAGATAGCAAAAAAGTTGAACTTTACACCACTATTTTTAGTTTTGCAATATTTTGGTTAGTTTAGCTGCTACAACATTTCTACAATATGTGGGGTGACTGTCCTGATTTACCCCGCTTGTCCCTCCCTTATCACCCATTTGACGGTATTATATTGTTTTGTGTGATGTTAATAAATAGTTAGAGTGGGGGGAAAATATATATGTTGGTGGTCTTTGGATAGATCTGCAACAAAACACTCACTGTCTCATGCAGTTCTTTGATAGATCTAAATGTGTATAAACCTTATCAGACCTCATAGGTACAATTTACCTACACTTGATACCATTATAACATTCCCAAATTATGCTCTCTGAATTAAGTTGATGGAATATAAAAGGAAATAGTAAGTAGTGTTATATTAGATGTTTGGTGTGTATCACTGTCTGTATTATACCTCAGGCGCTTATGCTGGACCAAAGTGGATGGTGGGCCCAGTCTCTCTCTTGAATATCCTCACATAGCCATTCATGCAGTGTGCCGTGATATCACCCGCTTCCCCAGGCCTCATCTCTATGTTATGGTTGATACAGATCTGTTTCCTGAAGATCATGGTTAGTATGGTAACAGCTTATTTCTTGATGTCAAAATCATAAGACATAAGATCCATTTAATTTAAAAGTTAACAGTTGTACTCGTATGTAGGGAAACTAAGAAGGAATTTTCTAGTTCAAACCCTAAATTCTCTTATACCTTAGTTTCTGGTCCATGTTTTTTTCAAAATGGTTCAATTTTTCAAATTTGATTCAATTAAAACAATAACCATTTCCATAGCTAAACAGTCACCAAAGTCTTAAATAGTCACTAAGTTGCTGGATTTACGCTATAATTTTATTTGATGGGCTGTGTTTCTTCCTCAGAGGAAAGTGATGATGAAGATGAGAATGCAGATCCTGAAGCTCGTTGTACGTCTGTGAGATTTGTTCCCAACAATCTTGGTAACCTGGATACCATCTATCAGTCTGTCAGCAACTGCCAGATCCTCCACCCTGATCCTGAGCAGGAGTCAGATAATGGTGGGTACTGAAAGTCATCTCAATATAACACTAACCTATAGAAGGAGATAGAAGCTGTTTATCAATATTCAAAAATAAATTGATGCTACTAAACAGTTATATATATCCTAGAGAATTAACTTGCATGGAATTATTTTTATTTGTAAATTTCACTCAATAAAAACTTCATTGTATATTTTGATACTGCCAAATTGGCTGACTTCTCATAAAGTCCTGAGATGGATAAGATGAATTATGGTACCATCAGGCATAGGTATCAATTTCACCTAGAGCTTCTATCTCATTCTAACCAGTCTGAATGGCTGTGCTGCTATCTGAATGGAATAGATTTTTTTCTTCATTCCTCAATGCTTTCAATCATTACTAATGTATGCAACACAGATGTTAAAGATTTTGCTTTGAGTACCTTTGTAAAAAAATTAGTTTTATAAAATTTCAAAGTGTATTTTCTTAAAATAAACTATAATTCAATTCAAATTTTTAGTTATATTCAAGAAATTTTAACTGTCAGGTGGTCGGTTTCTATGACCCCCTGATAGATTTGTAACTGAGAGTCAGGGTACTTTGTTGTTCCAAGTATAACTAAGGCAGGACAAGTGAAACACGAGGTAACTCTAGATCTATAATAATAAACTGGCACGGGAGTGAGTACAGATGGAGGGGAATGACAGGCACAGCACCAGTACGTGCTGGAGGAGAGGACTAGCAAGATGACGGCTAGGCAGTACCGCTACAACTGACGAGCGGTAGACTTAATGTGCTATATATAGTCATTAACAGGGATGACGTCACTGAGCGTGACTACCATGTGGGTACAGAACAAGCTAAGATGATGACGTATGATAACCTAGGTCCTAGGTGATGCTAGAAGATCACCGGACATAACTTAGTTTGAATATTTAATCATCATTGACTGTGTGCACAGAGTTCCCGGAAGATGATGAAGATGAAGGAGAATACAACCTTGCTGGGCCTCTCCCTCCCGTGCGCTACGAGAACGAGCCTTATGAGGAACAAATGGAGAACGGTAAACGCAACACGATTTATTCTGTTTCCAGTTTAGTGCTAGTTTTTGTTATAGTGCAGTCTGGTATGCATGACTTGTAATACCTACTTAAAGTATGCAATACCGGTAGTGGACAAGAACCCATTCATAAAGTATTACCCTCTTCTTTTGTATTCTTATAGCAGAAATATGTTTTCAATTTCAAAGCATTACTTCTCGTCACAACTTCTGGTCTTGTTTATTATTGATGACGCGATCATTTTCTACAATTAACCAGTTTAATGTTCATTCATCATTTACAAAAATTTGATCTAAATGCCTCCCAGTGCAGCACATAATCATATATAAATTGTATCATGTGATCATTCTTGATAAATTTATTGCATGCTATGCTTCCTTAGGTCTTGGAGAGGCCGTTGGCAGTAACGGGCATGGCACGGATGCTGATGAAGAAGCTATGGATGAGGACTGCTAACTGTCAACACGGTTGCAAAATTCCTCCGCTTCATCAATTTTTTTTAATTATGGCAATATCTGTCATAGCTTTCTTACTCTATGTTATTTTGTAAGTTCTTTGTGGCCCAATCTCTGAAGCTGTTTAGCTAAAATAGATGATATGTCGCTGCTACCAACCTGTTTTATTGTTGGTTTTTGTGAAAGGAATGAGCTTGTGATAACCTCTCTTTACTTGGTTTAGCGCCCTCGTATGCTAAAAATTGTTACTTTTTTTCTTGTTTCGGAACTATTTGATTTTTTTCTAGGGTAGCTTGTTATGTACGCAGATTGAGTAATTGACACTTGGTACTATTCTCTTTCAGTTCAAGCGAGTCTATTCTACTGTGCCTTCACGCACTATAATGGATATTTATTTAATTTTTTTTCGCTTCTAGATTTCAATTTCATTAAATTGAAAGATTTCGCATTCATTTCTGACAATACTCATTATTTTACATCTTATGTCTTTGGATAACAATCATTACTTTGCTCATTATGGCTTGAGATTCGATGAACGAAATTGAAATCCAACTAAAATAGGCCATGATAATCTGATACCCATCTTATCATTGCCTGATCAAATTTAAAAGAATTTTCAGAGAGCACTTATTTTTTCCCGGCTAAATGTCACTATTTTACGGCAGAAATTCAGTTTGCTGACTATAGCAAACACCATCCCTCGCCCTCAATACTGTGAACTTAGCTGATCTCGTTCTCTTTTTTTTTTTTTTTTTTTTTTGTTCCATGTATATCATTCATTAGTTAATAGATCTCGATGTACGAATGCTTTATAGCATTTTTGGCGCTTTCGCTGCAATAGTTATTATTCAGTCGATTTTGCCAGAAAATGGACTTTAATTCCTATAAATTTCTTCTCATTACTCACGAAAAATTTGCTGGGCATTATCCTCAATAAGCGAAGATGCTGATGAATACCTAGAAAAGTGTCTGGAAATTCTTATGTGCTAACTTTGACCTTAAATATACTGTTTATGTACTAATTCTATAAGTTTACTTATTAAATTGGCCATGATTTTCAGTGATGCCACTTGTATCTGGATGTCTCATATTGTTGAATAACGAAAAATACGTTCGTGAATTTCCCAAGGCATTAACGGGCACAATCCTCTTGGGGTTCGAACCTCAATACAATAAACAATACAGTTTAGCGTGAATGTGAAGAACAAAATTATTGAGTTACTACTGAATTTTCTTTTCAATCGTGAAACAATCAGAAAAAAATGTTTTTGGGTGAGGCACTGTAATAAAAATAATGACAGTATTGTATATTTTTTTTCTCGTCGCAAAAATTCATCTCTTTAATCATAATGCTTTTTTTAACATTTTGCATCTCAGTTTTCATGCAATAAAACCTTAGCCAAGTTGCATTGTCGATCGGTAACCAGCACTTGAGATTCAGAGCATTTGATTGCTCTGTGGAAAACGTGTTGAAAAAAAGCTGAGTTAAATTCTATTTCGACAATTATTTTTGCTAAAGGCGTGCCAATATATTCATTTACCTGGTATTGAACTTCAGTAACCAATTCGTGTAATAATGTGCAATAATGGAAGCATGAGGAGTCATAAAAACCTGCTTTCATTTCGGCTCAGTCTAGGATTCAAGCGACATAAAATTACATTGTTTACTCATTTACGTTTTCAAAACATTTTGCCGACTTTACATATTTAATATATAAGTTGTGTAACGTTTTGGTTGCTCGTTAAGCTCAAAATTCAAAATATTGATGAAAAAAAAAGTTTCGCCGAATGCCTGGATAGAAGAAACGCATTTCAAAGGTAACCTAAGTGAAATTTTTACCCTAATTCGTATTTTGTAAAGCGGTTGATGGGAAGAGTTTTGACCAACACGTGGCAGCGCCCATTAGCGTTGGAGTCTATTGCCCGGGTCGCCTGCCGAAGACCACCACTGCCCTGGATGTAATGGACCATCATGATTCCTGCCTTCCGGGACGTAACCTTCAGCACTTCAAGCCGTCCGTATCGGGTCGCCTGCCGAAGACCACCACTGCCCTGGATGTAATGGACCATCATGATTCCTGCCTTCCGGAACGTAGCCTTCAACACTTTAAGCCGTCCGTATCTAGGCCGTGGGTCGAACCAGCCCTCGGTCGAACGGCCACTTGTCGAAGGACGATAAATTTTGGAACAGAACTACGCTAACTGAATCCTAACCTCGGATGCGGTGAACGTAAAATTACGTAATTTAACGATGCCGTGAAGTCAGATTCGATCCGCGGTATGGTGGTGCACGGCAGGTTCTATGCGAGGCCGGAGGAAGACAAAGCCGAGTGGTTCACGGCTGATTGATGGATGTCCGGAGATATCCAAGGCGTTCGATTCAGGGCTTATTGGTGCACAAAATTGGTGGTGCACAGCTGCGCTCCCCTATTGCCCAGGTGCAGTAGACAGAGCGGTATTGCCATTCCTCGTCACTGCCACGAGGTGGAGTGTGCAGTATTGCCATTCTTCGTCACCGTTAAGAAATGGAGTGCGCTGTTTTGCTATTCTTCTTCGTCACGACAACGTGGAGTGCACAGTATTGCTATTCATCGTCACCGTAACGACGTGGAGTGCACAGTATTGCTGTTCTCATTCCTCGTCACTGTAACGACATGGAGTGAGCAGTATTGCCGACCTCATCATCACAAGCAGAAAGCGCTTGCGCCCCTCATCAATTTCAAACAGGAAGTGGTGACATATCAGATCTCGTATAATTATCTGACTTATCCCCATTGCGGGATGTGTCGTATGAGAATTCTGCTATGTTATGCTTTGTTGAGAATTCTGCTATGTGTTATGTTTTGAGAATAAACTTCAATTGCATCTCGACAATACTTCTAGCACGCAAACGGTGATTTGTACTCATTTAATTCTGCTATTGATGACGAAAATATCTGTGCCCCTTTGCATGTTTAGTGAATGGAAAAAATGCTTGATAAACTATGTCATTCTGATCGAATTTTTCATTCAATTCCATTCTCTAATCATCAAACTTTTGAAAGCTCGACACAGTCCACAGAAGGACTCATGTGCATTATCTTCTGTCTTCATCTAGTAATAATTCTGTAGATGTAATTGGAGTTTTCGTACGGACGCGCGATAAAAATTCTTCGACTGACTAACCGTGCGAGATATGTCGTGTTAGAATTCAGCGGCAGATCGTGAGGTTTGAGAAGCCATTTTCAATCAGCTTAATTCACGTTCCTATTCTTCAATGTAGCTGTCTGACATGTCTTACTCATAGTAAAGTGACCGTTGAATTTCAGGAAGAGCACTTCCTTTCAAAATATGCATGGAATATATCTACTTAAATCGACTCTGGTCATTGTGAGGTCGTTTCAATCAGACTGAAATAATTAAACCCAAATACTAAATCAAACCGCTCAAGTAGGAAGTCGGTTTTTCGTTAGATTTTGTTGCATGTCTTATTTTTTGATTGATTATTTCATCTATAAAATTCAATTTCAACGAGCTTTTTATACTGAATATATGACCTACATGATGAAAGTTTGAAATGAAGCTTTTTGACCAGTAACTTAACTAAATGCGTGTTGATAACCGGGTATTCGATTTCATTCATTTAATCATCAAACTTTTGAAAGTTCGACACAGTCTACAGCGGAACTCATGTGGGTTATCCTGTGTTTTCATCAAGTAATAATTCTGTAGATGTAATTGGAGTTTTCATACGGACGTGCGACAAAAAGTTCCTAGACTTACTAACCGACCCGTGCGATGTGTCTTGTTACCATTCAGCTGAAGATCGCGGGGGGGCTTTGAAAAGAAATTGTGAAATCAGCCTTATTCACGTTCCTATCTTCCAATGCGACTATCCAATATGTCATTCGATTCATAACGTGAGCGTTTAGTTTCAGGAAGAGCCCCTCCTTTAAAAAATTCATGGAAAGTCATGGAATTTCAATTCTCACACTTCATTGTGTGGTCGTTCTATTTGGACTGAAATAATTAAACCAAAATGCTAAATTGAATTTTTCAAGTAGGAGTCGGTTCTTTTCTTGAAAATATTCGCACGTTTTTTTCTTACGTTGAATATTTGATCCATGAAATTAAATTTTAACATGCTTTTCTCATCGAATATATGATTCCCATAATAAAAGTTTGGAAAGACACTTTTTGACCAGTAACTCAACTAAATGCATGATGATAACCGGTTACTCCATACAATTTCTAAATAATCCGTCAAATTTTTCATATATAACCAATATAATTTAGCCCCTGCATACCGCGAATAATTTCACTAGGAATCAATAACCCTATTTATAAGTGACTCGTTCTTCAACAATTGAGCTCACGTCTGGATTAAACTTCGGCCTGATCAGTTCAATCCGACAGTTTGTGCACTCAATCTGCCTCGTTGATTCCACGAAAGCACATAACTTTAACCTGTAGAAACATGTTATTCATTTGTTCTGTTTCAGAAATCGGGTTAGCACGGTTTTTATCCGTCGCTCTATCGACGAATCAAACCACATCAGCGCCATACATCGTTGACCTTTTTTATGCATGGTTTTACTGCCTGGCTGTTAACAATTTGATTGAGAATGACTTCCTTCATTTCATTTTTTGAAAAGCCATTAGTAACATCGAAGTTGTGGATGGCAAGCTGAATAGAATCAAGTCACGAGAAAAAAGAAATGAAATCGTTAGAGAAGCACATATCATGGAAGTTGCGAAAAAAGAAATGAAATCGTTAGAGAAGCACATATCATGGAAGTTGCGGTTCGATTACATCTAGCCGACCACAAATGATTCCGACAGATTTAATTATTCGATATTAGCAATAACAAGGTGACGTTTTAAGGATCTGACAGAGGCAGGCAACTGCTAGAGTACTATAGGTTACTGTCACCTTTTACATACAGGCTGACTGCTAATGGTAATTAACTACTGCTAGGTTACTGGCTTAGTTTCCAAACTGGCTGACCACGGTAATTAACATGACACAGGGTAAATTCGCAGGTTCTTTAACTTACGGTCTTTGAGGCTCTAGAAAGACGAACGTGGACTTCAATTCTTCAATGTTTTTCTAACTAATAGCTTTTTACTACTAGGAATACGATACCTGCAAATATGGAATGCAGTATTTAGACTGGAACTATGGACCATTTCACTTCACAGCACGGTAGCTTTTCTGACAATCCCATACATTCTCAAATCGACGATATTTCCATACGACCAAAGCACACTTGACACGCACTAGCTTAAAGAAGACGGTAAATCCATTTGCGATGATTAAATGATCATGATTAAACTACTAGATCTAGCTCACGACAATTATCGCTGTGAGATGACGCTGCATTGGTTGATTTACTTAGTTGATTCAAATCAAACTAATGGATTGAACAAATAATCAAAATATAACAGACATTCTGTGGTATGCCGCTGGCTTAGAGGCACCCATCTGGACTAAGTGACATACAACTTCATATAACAGCTCCAGGAATGAAAATAATCACTGATATTCTCACAAACAGGTTTTGCTCACTCATAAAAGCTCAATCACCCAGTAAATGCACACATTTTACATTTGACACATAGAAACACAGAAATAAATTTGGCAGAGCTTCCCTCGTTGCCGATCCAAACTTCAACCGCGCGCGCATCGGGTGCGTCGGTGCTGCCGGACTTGAATTTTCCGGAATAACAGGCAATTCGATAATTTGCATGCTGCGATACGCATTTATTATTATATTACTCTCC